TCGAGAGGCCCTCCGAGCCCAACACCCTGAACATCTTCCTGGCGCTCGACACCGACACCGACTTCATGCCTGATGAGCGGGCCGCCGCCGCCGCAGGACGCAGAGTGTTCGACGTCACCGCCACGCGCCTCCTCAACCGCACCCCCGGATTGCCCCACTTCTCCGGCATCAGGAACGTCGGCTTCCTCAGCATCCGCGGCGGCAACGGCACGAACGTGGTCGCGGAGCTCCAGGCCACCAATCGCGAAGCGGACAACACCGTCCCCTTCATCACCTGCCGCTCTCACCAGGACCAGGAGAACGACACGTTGGAGTGGGAGTGGAACCAGACGTATCTCAACTGGCCCGTCCTCGACGACGAGGCCAACCCGCAGTGGACTACCCACGACGTGATCGCCCACGACGAGAAGCTCTGGTGGGTCAACCTCTCGCGGGGCCTCGTCGTCTGCGACCCGGCCCCGGTCCAAGAACTACTGCCGACGCTGGAGTTCGTGGCGCTCCCGGTCCTCGCCGGGTTCGAGGACAGGCACGAGCCGCCGGCGCAAATCGACAGGTACCGCATCGTGGGTGTGAGCGCCGGCGAGATGCGGTTCGTGGACGTCGCTCGCAGGCGCAACGATCCCGAGGGACAGACGCGGGTGGTCGTCTGGACGCTGGACTTGCCGCAGGCGATCGGCGACGCCAGGTGGGAGGACAACCCCAGGCAGACGACGCTGGCGAACATCTGGAACAGCGCCAACTACGTGCAGATGCCGAGAGATGTGGTCCCTGTGGTCGCGCTTGTGCACCCCAACGATCCCGCCGTCGTCTACTTCTTCCTGGAACAGTACATCTTCTCCGTCGACGTGAATCAAAGCGCCGTCGTGCACTTCGCAGTGATGCCGGAGGACGGCGTGCCACGGCCGATCAACCAGCGAGACGTTCTCGCTTGGAAGCGCCCTCCCTTCAAAACGGTACGGTACTACTATAGCTAGCTTAATTTGTGCTTGGCATTTTCCACATGTGTTTTCCATCCGACGAGCTTTACTTGCAATTTGAATTTCACATGAGATGCCTGATGCCTTCGTATGCACGGATGACCTATCAAAACGTCATGCCTTCGTATTGGTGCTTATCATGATAACGGTCACCGACGACCGACCTATGATCCCCTTGTTAATTACCACTGAGATATGGAATCTTTCAGCAATTGCGTGACTACTACTCTACTACATATCAACTGTCCGTGTTCATCTTCAGTTGGGAGCAGGGAAATTAAGGGAGACTAGTTCTGCGCTTATGAAATATGAATGATAATTAGTATAAAAAAATGTAAAGCATGGAGCCGGTGACGTGTATGTTGCAATTTAATTTATAAACAGGTGAACAGAACTCTCCAATTTGAAACTTGAAACCTTGCCTATCCCGTTTTTAATTTGAGCATGAACAACTTGCTACAACAAATTTGAGCTTAATAACGAAGCCCAAACTAAGAAGTAAACGACTGCATGCAGGTACAGAGAATGCTGCTACTAAATCGTTTCTGAGGAAATTCATGAACTGAAACATGTTTAGAGAGGCATTCCATCAGATTGACTGTGTTTTCTTCTGTTCCAGAATTTCATGAACCTGAGACCTATTTAGAGAGGCATTCCATCCGTTTGACTGAGATTTCTGCTCCAGAATTAATTTCCTCTCACATTTAGCGATTCTTTTAGTACATATATTATTATCGTATTCAGTAACTCTTGACTGACTACGTGGTGTATTACTTCTTTGAAGGTCCCGTTACAGGTGGTATACGAGAAAACGAAACACCAAGCCCAGTATCAGCAAGGATGAGGATCCTGCTGAAGGATGAAATCCCCATTCACGGTGCGGTTATACTTCTCTTGGGTTGACCGCCTAGCTATATATATACCCGCACTATATATCTTTCAGTAGCAAACATGAAGTTATTCCTCTTTTGTGCAGGTCGTGACCAAGTGTGAAGGTCGTGCGCAAAGCCGGCCTTTGTTGTTGTTTCCTGTGTTGGCTGTGAGCAGACAAGAGTGTAGACAGGGATTCAAGTCTTTTCTGGTCACAAACTATACGTACAATTCTAGCTGTCACAAACTATACAATTCTAACTGTCACAGACTATACAATTTTGCTACCTCTATCCATGCTTTCTACTTCTCAGAAGTATTGTATTCAGTTTTGTTGATGATGCGTTATCAAATGTTGGATATACTTGTGAGGTTTCAGAGCTTGTTGGATATATTCATATTCATATATATAAGGTGTTGATGTTGCCCATATGATTGAATAATTGAATTAATTGTTGCTGGGTGAAAGAATTTTCCAGCCCAAACAGGAACAATCCACTGGTGGTTTTGCTGAGTGGCCTCATCTTCTTTCTCCTCCTTTTTTTTTTCTTTTCCAAAGACAATGAATATAATGACAGAGATTCAGGTTGGATCTTGCCATGGCAACTGAACATCAATCAAACATAAATGACAGCAGGATTTACTACGTGATTTCCTGAGGTGCTACATCTTCAGCGTAATCACAGCACTCTGCCTGCAATTCAGAAAAGCTCCCAAAAAAGCTCCAGCTAGTATGATGTATATCTCGCTCCATAAGTCACATTTTTCACCTTACCAACTTGACATCAGTTCATTACAACGACATTAGGGATGCCAGTTTTGATAATGTTGTCATTAGAGTTACTACGTGACTTCATCAGTATGCATGTCATCGCGGGGTGTGTGTGCCCAGTAATTCCATCGGAAAAACCTCCACCGAAACTGCTCCCCATCCTTCACGGTTTCACCACGCAGCAGCCGATGTGGCTTTGTAATTTTGCCATTTTCAATTTCAACATGAGCTTCACAAAGTAGCCACCTCCGTATTTTGTTTTTGTTTTTCTAATTTCAGCCTTGTGCTCCTGACGGTCTAACTGCTCTGATTGGCTTGCATCGGTTCTGAGTTCTGAGTGGCTGGCGTCGACGCGGACGCCCCCAGCCTGTTCACCTTCCGCTCGGACACCAACGCGGCTAGCGCCCAAGCTTGTCGTGGAAACCACGGTGCCTAAAGCCATAGGTGTCATGTAGGATGGGAACACCACGCCGGTCTTATTCGTTTGTCTTATAATTCATGCTTTTCAGATTTTTTTCTAGCCGAAACAGTGTTTTTCTCTCACAACAAATCAACCCGAATAGTATTTTAACTTATTTTTTCAGCGAAGGTAACGGGTTCATCGATAAAGATGAGCTTGTTGCAAAGGATACCCCGCACCCGGCTGATCCTGACATCGTATACTTGTTCCTGTGGCAGTACCTTCTTCGGCGTTGACGTGAGCCATAGCGAAGTTGTGCATTTCCTCTCCGCGTTGCTGGCCGGCCCTCCGTTCACAGCATCCCTCTACGAACTTACTACATCCGTTCCAAATCATATTTCGTTTAACTTTTTATCCTAAGTTTGACTACTCATCTTATTTAAAAATTTATGCTAAATATCACTTCTTTTGTTGTGGCTTACTTTATTAACAAAAGTTCTTCAAGAATCACTTAAATTTGACTATGTTTATACAGTTTTTTTAAATAAGACGAGCGGTCAAACTTGTGGTAAAAAAAAAACGAATTATAATTTGGAACGGAAGGAGTAGCAATTTTCTCGAGCAATGACAATAGGATGTGAGTGGATTAAGATGAAATTTACCCCTCCTACATAACACGAGAGATATCTCTAGATCCCTCGGTGTGGTTGGATTAAGAAAGTGTATAGCCATGTCAATGTGATTAAAGAGTTAATCATGGTGTGACTAAAGAGTTAGTCACAAGTTGTAATCCGCAATAAGATCAAGTGAAGTGTCGAACTATCACAAGGATGGGAATCTTGTCTTGAGTTCAATTGCTATCGTGTCGCAAAAGGATCGGGACACGTGCGTATCAATGTTTAGCCAATTTGATCTTTGTATATATGTGAGATTCGATTAATGATTCAAAAATGGTTTTTGACCGTGGTTGTCTACACATGAACCTAATGGGTCACACACTTAAGGGGTTGGAACAGTTGCCAAGATGATTGACTCTAATGCAGGTGGAACATTGTTGGTGATGGGTCTAAGAGTCAATCATACCCGTTGTGAATTGGATCTATAAGTGGGCTAAAACATGATAAATTGATAATGATTCATTAATAAAGTACTAATGGGCTTTTAATGAGAGGCAACTTTAACATTTAAAGCCCATGAATAGTGGTGGAACATACAACATCAATTAGTACTATACTACTAGTTAATGCAAAAATATAGAGTTCTTCCTACGTGAATGGATGTATCAACACCCATACGAAAAGATAATTTTGTCTTTCCAAGCCTGACCCTAAGCCCTCTCTCTTCCTCTATCAGCGCCCGGCGTTTATCTCCGCACGTGTGGATAATACGGAGATGCTGCTGCTGTTGTTGTGGCCTTGATCGGCAACGAATGGATAAGGCGGGTGGATGTGTTGCTACTTCCACTGCATTGACACATAAATGGTAACGACGTTAGACTAAGGCTACTTTCAACTCTTTTTCCGCATGGTAACAATCTATGATCACCACTCGCACGTTGTCTTGATAAAATACGGTAGATAATTTTTAGCATACCCATTACCCTACAGATAGTGTTACATAATTCTTCCAATGTATCGAAGTTGCCAAAGATCGAAGTGTATTTCATAGAAATTATATTTCGCCTTCTAGCTTAATCACTCAACGGTTCATTGCAATTACACAGGCATTGAGGAAGCCGGTTAGTATATTCCATAGAAATTATATTTTGCCTTCTAGCTTAATCACTCAACGGTTCATTGCAATTACACAGGCATTGAGGAAGCCAGTTTGATAATTTACAGAGTATAACACAATATGCGAAAAAAGGTGGATCCAGACAGAAGGAAACTACAAGCACCGAGGGCGCAGCATCTCAGCACCACAAACTACAACAAATCCAAACAGTATCTCATCAGCTGAGAACTTGCCCTTGCCAGGAGCTTCACTTTATCAGGTGTTGAAAATCCCCGCTGGCATGTACTTGCTTCACCTGTTTGTCATACTCGTCCTCGCCATCGTATTCCTCATCCTCCCCATCCTGCTCGTCATCCTCAGGTTTCTTGCCATCTTCCTTCTCTTTTTCCTCAGCCCAACCAAAACCAGCCACCGGAGTAGATGATTGGGGCGGCGTGCAGGCCTCCTCTACGATCTTCATGATCTCTTCGACGGTTCGATCAGAGAAGGTGGGGGCACTGTTGTCCTTCGCTTGCGCAGCTTCTGTAAGTTCTCTGGGCAAATTCTTCAGGAACCAGGGGTGATTCCTAATCTCCCTAATTGTTATTCTCTGAAGAAATGAGACGATATGGCATTAAGATGGTGGTAAACCATAGTAAAATGATCGAGGCTTTGCAGGATTCACTGCCCAACAGTACCTTTGCAGGATTTGCGATGAAGATCCTAGCAAGGAGCTGTCTGCAGTCTTGGGATATGTGGACATACTCTGGTATCTGGTACTGAATTGACACTATTCTCTGAAAAAGGATATGGGTGCATAAATTTTTTAGAAGATAATTTCAAGGTGCAAGAGCCAGGATTTAGGGTCTTCTGAACGAGTGAACTGTTACCCCAATCGTTTTTCTGAAATTCTTGGGATCATCGGGGTCCTCAAAAGGGTACGCACCAACCAGCATCACGTAAAGAGTCACTCTACAAGGCCATGTTAGAGTGATCTCCAAATCAATAAGCCCAATGGTCTATTGGACTTTGGTCACGCGCCCTGATTGGAGGCGCCCAACCCTACATGGTTGGTGGCCCCCGTCGCACTGCGCTATATATAGAGGTGGGGGCCGACGGCTCGAGGTACGAGGTTCGCCGTGAGCCGCAAACCCCACCGACAAACCCTAAACCGATCTAAGAGGGCGCGCAGCCAGCGACGGGAAGCTCCGCTGACTTCGCCGTCATCACTGCTACGCCGTCCGTCTGCACTGCATCGACGTCCGTGCAACCTCTACTCCACCCGTCGCTGCCCGTGTGCCGCCTCCATCACCGAAGCTGAGATGGCCAGCTCAACCGCGACTCCCTCTGAGGGCTCAGGTTCAACACCAGCACCCTTACCCTATCTCCCTCTCGGTGTAGTGTTCTAGGTTTAGATATGCACGTGCTATTATGGATCCAAGGGTTTCCCTCCTAGATCTACTGCTAGAGATCCTAACTGTATTCAACAGGCCAAACGTCTGCCATCTGCCACACATTACAAAATGTAATGAACCCCATCATGAGGAGAAGAACGGGTTTGACTCGGGTCATCGGTTCGACTCCTTATGGGAGTGAAAAAAAAATCCCCTCCGTACCATGCCAAAGCACATGTCTTACCCCCGCAGATCGAGTTTTCTTTTTGAGAAGGAGAAGAACACGAACAACAGTTTCAAGGAAGTAGGTGCCTCTATAAATAAAAATTGAGCTCAAATATAAAGGAAGCATGCTATAGTCCAACAGGCAAGCACAGAAGCACTTGTATTTTATGTTACAACATAAATAAACCTATGTTATCTGTAACATACTATTGATCGCAGCCATTGTGCTTAAACAGAACATTTTAAAACAAAACATTTTTCCTAAGCATGTGCTAACATGAGTTAAAAGCATATCCACTGGTGATGAAACTTCTATCAAATACTTCAGTTGTTCAAATATAAGAGAAGCAATGAAACAATCACGCATCACTAAGGACTGGGCAATAAAAACCTTGAACATATATACAATTATATCAATGGATCTATTAAACAGTATATGGCTACTTCACAATTTTCTGTCACTTCATAAGACCAATCATGACAAATCATTTATAAAAATTTATCGCCAAAGTAAGCATGTGCTATCATAAGACTAAGACACTCCAAAGATACAAATGGAATGGGAAATGGATAGGTGAAGATAAAGTGAATTCCACTACTACAGCTAGAATTCCAGAGTAGCCCCAAAGCAAATCACAGAAGTAGGCCTTGAAATTTGGCAACGCTTCTAGAAACCAAGAATGCAAAGTACTGAGCAATGTCCATTGCTTGAACTAATCTTGGTGAGATCCTAAGGTTTCTCTTTCACACGCACAGGCAACAAATTTTAAATTCTGTAAAAGGAAATTTTGTGAGCAGTTTGGTATGACATTCCAAAAAGTGAGAAACAAAGTATAATAATCAAAGGTTGAACAGTATCTGCATCAGGCAGGACAAGTAGAGAGGATGAAAAGAGAGCAAAGGATAAAGACAACCAACGGGATATCCAGTCTAACATGGTTACATCACATGAAAAGATAAGGCCTTGTTTTCACAACAACAACAACGACAACAACGAGAGTAGGCTAGAGTTGAAACACAACAGAAGAAATCAAGATTTAGGCACGTGAATAGCTGTTTTCAAGCATTCGACTAAGTCTTTGGGTATATTCCATCCTTTCAAATCTTCTTTTATTACCTCTATCAAGTCAACTTCGATCTTTCTCTACCTCTCTTTATATTACTATTCTTAGAATTTTATTACGCATCGGTGTCTCTTGATGTCTCCATTGGACTGGATACGAAGCTTAACGAGGAGGCTTCTTCTCCTTCGTTCGGTTACTACTACTAGTGCGGCCAGGCCAGTGGCAAGGTCGGGTACGGGGGGTGGTTGCTTTGTTTGTTTGTCTCCGCGCTTGGGTTTTGCGCGTGATTGGCTTTATGAGACGACGGAGGACTAGTTTAGGCGTGCGATCGCGCGGGCCACACTAGTTTATACGCGGTGATTAGACGATGTGGCACGCCGTGTGTGTGCATGCGATGCGGTGCGGCAACAGGGAATGGAGGCACCGCACGATGAGATGCTCCGCTCCCGGTCTCTCTAATTATTTGCCACCCTTAGGCTGTCCGCCTCTCTGATTGCCAGCTTTTTATGACAACTGCGTATTTACCCCGGAAAACTGTAACATGCCTGTAAATTTATTATTTTCGCTAACGCGGCACGCCATTTCAGTGCACCACCGTGGAACTTAACGTCTCAATTTGCCCAGCTCAACGGCGCCAGCACTGCCCGTCAGCTCCCCCTCTCTACTGGTGATCACTGCTAGTGGGACCCGCATGTCAGTCTGTCCTGTGCACTGTTCATCTTCTTCGTTGGGCATGGCCGTGGCCGGTTCTAGAACTGCGCTCCTGCTGCTCCTCTCCCTCGTCGTCCTCCACTCGCGCCTGCTGGACGCCTGCTGCTGCCGCAGGCCACCGAGGATCTGCTGCTGCTCGTCAGTGCCGCAGGCTCGAGTTCGCGGGCTCCTGATGCTGCTCATCGGTGCCGCAGGCTCGGGTTCGCCTCCTCCAGCTCCGCCCTATGGGCCACAAGGCCGCCGCCCAGGAGTGCTCCCTCGCGCAGTCGCGCTCCAGGCCGAGCCGCGCTCTCCTTCGCCGCGCCCGCGCGCTCGAGGCGCTCGGCGGCCACGAGCTCGCCCTCGCCGATGCGCCCGGACCCGGCGAGCCCGCATAGGCGGCCGCCCTTTCCCCCTCCACCGGCCGGCCGTAGGCCCTGCAGGAACCGGCCATGGCCATGCCCAACGAAGAAGATGAACAATGCACAGGGAGGCAGAGCAGAGGAGTACTACTACTCGCGCTCAGCTCTCGGCTCTCGCAGTCTGGGCGGCCGGACTCTGAGCAGGAGCAGGACGGGTGGAGGCCGGTGGACCGAGTGGACAGGCCGGGGCTGGAGCTTCTTCCTGCCCGAGACAAACTGCTGAGCAGCGAGCCGGGATCGTAATCGGATTCGGTCTGCCCCGAGGTGGACGACGCGCCCCGGTCCTCGCGTTGCGCGTCACCGCGGCCGCGACGCGCCAAGGCGTGACGAGGCCGCTCCTCGCGACAGCACGGCAGGGCTCGACTCGACTGCCGCGAACGCTTTCGAATTTCGGCCTCTGCCTACGCCCGACGCGACGTCCGTCCGTCCGCACTCGCGGGCTGCGACGGGTGGTCGAAGCAGCGTAGTGTGAGCTCCTACGCCATGCGGCTAGCGCTGCCGGATGAGTGCGACAAGAGCAAGATGCAGGCCGAGCTCAAGAACGGTGTGCTCCTCGTCACTGTGTCGATGAAAGAAAGAAAAGAGGAGGAAGAAGGTACCGAAAGGCGGGCCCCACTAGAGGAGCTGACGGACATCTGCAGCTGCCGTTCGTCTAGCAGACGGAGGCGTCAAATTCCACCGTGGCTGGCTGACTGGCGTGCCACGTCAGCGAAATTGACAAAAACATAATCAAGTTACTGTTTTCCAGGTTAAATATGCGGTTGGCACAATAAAGCTGGCAATCGGAGAGACGGCCACCGTAAGAGTGACAAATAATCGTAAGAGTGACAAATAATTAGAAATTCGTAGATCTCTCGGTGTTCCTCCACTTCAGGGAATCCACAGAGAGAAGTCGATGGCAAAAAAAAAAGAACAACAAAAAAAAAACAAGAACATTTGATTGGGTAGTATCGGAAGGCAATTAGCAAATGGGAAAGTGGAGTAGCAAAACGTCCAAGAGGCTTGACACGCCCGCCGTAATCCGGCCAAGTGTTGGAAGGGAAGCAAATTGCTCAAACAAGGAGTCCACTTGTACGACTTTGAGGATTCCAATCCCAGTTGATTCTCACTACTACTGCCGTCAATAAAATTTAATATTGTCAGCCGCACACTAAGATCCTCCCTTTATTTAGATCGGAGATAGTATGTGATCTGTACGCCGCTTTTCATTTCATCTGCAAATGCTGCAATGTATCGTTACGCTACCTAGGAGATCGAGAGCATCTCCAGTTCTTCGTAAAAAAAGACATTTAGTAAATTCATGAGTTTTCCAAATGGTTAAAAAAAAGTTAAGAGTATATTTGTTGGTTTTCTACAACGACGACCCTAAAATACAGAAGATAATTTTACATCACGAATTCTATACTGTTCCTAAATTATCCTAACAACTTTTCTACTCTTTATTCTTTGTCATGTCCTTTCACATTTAGATTGTCCAATAGATATGCCCACCATGTGGATATATGCGCGCGATCTGTCGATTTTCCCAAGCGTGGAAAGATTGGGAGTTAAGATAGAAAGTTGTTGGGAGCAATTTTTTCAATCTTGCTAAAAAGTCAAGATTGGGAGTGGTTTTGGAAATTCTTGGAGATGCTCTCAAAGGTATTTGCTATGCCAAAAGTTGATTTTTCTAGGAAAATCTTTATAAACGTATTATATACAAACAATATTACTAACCTTAAGATACCTCTTTTGATGTTCATACGATTTTTTTGCCACATAAGTCCAAAATTCAAACATTGTACGTCAAAATTTCTTTTTCCAATGGCCTTGTTCGATTCTCTTATAATCCGTCTTTTTCAGCTTATTTTTTTAGTCAGAACGTGTTTTTCCTCTCATAACAAATCAGTCGAAACAGTGTTTTAGACTTGTTTTTTTTTCAGCAAAGTGAACAGGGCCATTGTACATAAATCCTTACGTCTCTGAACCAACATTCACAAGTAACCACACATTTCTCTGCCGTAGAGATTTACTACAGGATGAAACTCTTAAAATAACATATACGAAACCCATGTCGAGAAATTGTCCTATTCTCTGCAACACAATAAATGGCTCGTTGAGCAGAGCTTTTAAAGCAACCTTCGTCAAATACTGTGGCCTTATTTACTCCCTATCATATTAGATGTTTAGACATATGTATAAAATATTAAATATAAACTAAAAAAATAACTAATTGCATAGATTGCAACTAATTTGTGAGACGAAATTTTTAAGCCTAATTAGTTCATAATTTGATAATGTGGTGCTACAGTAAACCTGTGCTAATGATGGATTAATTAGGTTTAATAAATTCATCTTACAGATTACTTATGACTTCTGTAATTTGTTTTATTATTACTATTCAAACACTCTCGTACGGCACTTAATCTAACACTCCTAAGCTTTACTTTCTAGATTTAAACACCACCGTACATTATGTGAGAGGCGTCAGAGCCCCTGATGTAGAACTTGTCGTGCGTGGGCAACAGGTCCTTCTCATCTAGCTCTGCTGGAAAGATGTTCATCACCTGCAGCACCGCTGTCTGGTACTCGCCCACGGGCTTGGCGACGCCGGTCTTCATGCCGTCCATGAGCTTCACGAGGACACCGGACAACAGCGGTGTCATGTTGACACTTGGATTCGCAGCCGGTAGTCACAACCTGGTCGTGGAGAGCGATTAGTCAGAACTTCAAATCAAAGAGAGGAAATATTTGGGCGTTGGGGAGTATATTTAATTTCATTATGTAGTGCACGATAGAATCGAGTCTTAATTGAATCAGGATTATTAGAATTACCCACAAACAAGGCACGGAAAAGAATATAATAGTGCGTGACCGTACATGTACAAGCAAGGAAGGCAAGCTTTGGGGCGGACATACACACAAAGGGTTCGGCTTATCTAGAAACCGATTTATTCGGGTTTTTTAGTTTGAACAGTATTTTTCTCTCAGTTTTAACAAAAATTTAGCGAGCCGAACGGGACGAAAGATCTAACGAGCTGCCGTGTTCTATTTGGACTCTCTGCTTGGTGCGGTTTCCAACACTGAAAATCATGTTTTGGTCTCTTGTACGTGGTCGCCCGAGTCACTTACGCGATCCAATTTCTCGGAAAATAATTTTTATTTTGAGACAGGGCATTGTTTAGATTGTCTCAAAGTTCCAAGTTTTTTATTTTCTCTTCATCACATTAATTTTTGGACGCATGCATGGAACATTAAATGTAGATAAAAAAGTAACTAATTACATAGTTTGGTTGTAAATCACGAGACGAATCTTTTAAGCCTAATTAGTCCATGATCGAACAAAGTTTACCAAATACAAACGAAACGTGCTACAGTGTCCAGATTGCAAAAATTTGCAATCTAAACAAGGCCTGGATAAGAGAAGTTTCTCGGCAGCATGGTTACTGCATTTTTTTTTTTTTGTTGATGAGAAAGGAAATAGGCTTCTTTCTGGAATCTTCATCAAATATCTGGGCTGGAAACGTTCTTGTCGGTCAATTTACGATAGTGATCTACTGAATCTCGAAGGAGTAGTACATACATCGGTGAGATGATATTTTATATATTCTGTCGATGAAGTTGGAAACACGCTCAACAACAGCAACAAAACATTTTAGTCTCAAATAAGTTAAGATAAGCTAGAGTTAAAACCCAGTAAAAACAATCAAGATTCAGATACGTGAATAGTTGTTTTTCAATCACTCTTATCTAAGGCTAAGTCTTTAGGATATATTCCATCATTTCAAGTCTTCTTTTATTGTCTCTATCCAAGTTAACTTCGGTCTTCCTCTGTCTCTCTTCACGTTACTATCTTGGTTTAGGATTCCACTATGCACCGGTGACTCTGGAGGTCTTCGTTGGACATATCCAAACCATCTCAACCAGTGTTGGATAAGCTTTTCTTCAATTTGCGCTTATCCCTAATCTATCATGTATATCATCGTTCCGAGCCCAATCCCTTCTCATATGACCATAAATTCAACGTAACAGCATACGTATTTTCATGACACTTGTCTGGTGAACATATCATTTGGAAACACGCTCGTCCGGTCAAAAAAGATAGCGCCACTCTAGTACACCGTGCACGGTATACACCCGTAAGTTCCATCCGAAAATTCAAATTGGACCGAATCTCAGCATTAGTTATTGCCGTTGGTTATTACAGTATACAAGAACACTAGTTTCACGGCAACTTTTTTTTTCACTTACAACCATGAAATGAAATCTCTCTCCAAGGCAAATAAAATTGCTGAATGTTGGCATCCAATCATTTGCTTCCACTATAGTAGTATTTTGATCTCACGCATTCTGATCTGTTTCTTTTTTTAATCGCAGGGTAAGTTCCCCGCCACGAACGCAAATGCGACATCTCCATAAGTCAATTCATATTTCATGCAGACAGGGGAATATTTGGGCAATTTGCACCCTTGATCGTATCAGCTATGCTTATCAGCTATGATATAATATTTTTCTTTCACAACAAAACAGCATCAGCCGACTTATAAGCACAGAAACGATCAAACAAACTGGGTGAAGTTCCCCCATGTGTCGCAGCGGCAAAGCATGAAAGCTACAGTCCATGACCAGGCGAAAAACCCCCAAAAAGAGAGCGAAAACCCCTCAACTGTGCTAATTCGCTGGGTGACCGAAATGTCAACTGCTCCAGTACACGTGCGTAGACGAGGGTCCAGATTTTACAGCCACCGTGTGTGACAGTTGCACCAAACCAAGTCCCGTCCACGGTCCACTGATCTAATCTGATTTGATGCGCCTGGGAGGGTGGTTACCAAATCGCCTTCATCCATCAGCCGTAGCAGGCAGTCAAATCAGCTCATGCACTAGTAATAGTTAATAACAGGAGAGGAAAACAGTTAACAGGAGAGGAAAACAGTTAACAGGAGAGGAAAAATCTCGTGCCACAACAATCTATCACGACGATGGAACAGCTTGATGTGCCACCGTCACCGTTTCAACAGGCCTCAGCAGCACACCGGCATGTCGGCCAATAGTAGCTCCAACAAAACAAAGAGATGCAGGAGCCTGCCTAGACAGGCACAAAGATGGCACCATCGTCTCGGGCGCAAGCAAACAAACACAAGCATCACAATTCACACAGGAAATAACAGACACAAATCAATCCAATCTAGGTGTCTCTAGTTCATGGGTGCAACTGCAAATGCAAGGTTAAAAGAATGACATGATCTCTGCCTAATGCCCTATTCACATTTCAAGGTGCAATCGACGCACAGAAGTCCTACGGGGATTATTACCAAAATTTACTGTATTATAAGGGCCTGTCTATTGCCTGGCTGCTGCTGGCGGATTCCCCTTGTTAGCAGCACCATTCACGGCTGTGCTAGCCTGGCTGCTGGGTGGTGGGTTAGCCGCTCTGTTGGCACCGTTAACCGTCGCCCCAGCCTGGCTGCTGGACAGTGGTATCGCAGCCCTGTTAGGGTCGTTCACCGCCACGCTAGCTTGGCTGCTGGACAGTGGATTCACCACCCTGTTGGCACCGTTCACCGCCACACTGTTTGGCTTGGCCTGGCTGCTGCTGGATGGTGGATTTGCTTTGCTAGCACCTTTCGCAGCCACACTAGTCTGGCTGCTGGCTGCTACTCCAGAACTGATAACCGTGGCATTGCTAGGTGTCATTTGGTTACCTTTTGCGTTCATGGCATCCTTCTTCATGGGAGGCCCTTGGCAACCAGCAGGGACAGAGGCAGGGGTGGCTACCCTCCTTACTAGTGTTTTATTTGGGGCATTGGCATTGACTGTCTCAACAATGCCACGTGGGGTCCCTGCTGCCGAATGTGAGACAGGAATTTTAGTCTTCTTCCCAGTTGCTGCCACTCCAGCAGTTACAGGCTTGCCTTTCCCAACCACAGTTACAGGGTTACCTTTCCCATCCGCGGGAATCAGTTTCTGTGGCTTCTGGCTGCCAACAAGACCTTGGGCCTGGGAAGCACTGTTGGTACACTTGCTTTTATTCAGATCATCCGTGTTTAAGTGTCCTCCTTGAGAAGCAACATATTGATCAAACTCTAGCATGTCTTTATCTTTGGGATCTACTATCTCAACCTTCATCTCAACCTCTAATGTATCTGGCTGCTTTGATTTGGGATCCATGGTTTCTTGTTGCATTGCCTTGGGATCTGCGTTTTCTGGCTGCTTTGCCTTGAGACCAGTGGTTTCTGGTTGCTTTGCCTTGGTATCCACAGTTTCTGGCTGCTTTGCATCTACAATTCCAGGCTGCTTTGCATCGACAACTTCTGGCTGCTTTGCATCTTCAGGAAACAAGTCATCTATCGTAATCGCACAAAATTCAGAGTCATCCTCCTCGCATGGGACAGGTGCTAGTGTGGTACTCAATGCCTTCTTAGTTTCCAAAGAACGTGCCCCAGCAAGTGGCCCTGATTGATTAACTGCAGTAACTCCTGAAACACCATGAACTGCGCTAGCATTTAGAGGTTCTAGGTGCTGGGAGCCCCCAGGTTGTGTTCCATGCTCAACCACAATTGATGCCTTAGAGCTTGCAGAAGATTTCAAAGATGTTGCTCCTAGAGATTTTATGTGCACAACATTCTTAGATTGTGCAGCTTTTAGAAAACTTGCGGCAGTTGACGCTGTGGCAAGTCGCCCACCAGCAGCAATTGCTGCTGCTTGTATTGAGGAAGGACCAATGGTGGGATTTGGCTGAGCTGCTTGCTTCTTCCGTGTCTTATTTGAGGCATTTGACGATTTTGGTGGCACAGCTTGGGCAGGAGCTTGTTGCCCTTGATGAAGCAGAGTCTGCACTTGAGCTGCCACACGCAGAGGCATAGCAACTGGGACTGGGACTGGCAGCGCCAGTTCCGGTGCCGGTGAAGGGGTTGCTGCAGATCTTACTTCTGGCATCTTAGGAGCAAACGCTGTAGACTTATGCTGAATGCTTTGTTGATAAGCTCCTGCATGCACAATTTACGTAAGAACCACAAAGACAGGACAGGGTTACAACAGCTGCGATGAGGAAACAAAGCCACAGAACAATGCTTGAGTTGCTGATAGCTCAGCATAGAAACATTATGCTAAAATATCAACTTTCATGGCAAAGCATCAAAACTCTATAAATACCTGATCTCCGCATAGGACCGACAGCCAATGAAAGTGCCTTGAGAGCTGCTGATCTTTCCTCTGAGCCAACAGAAGCATGTTTAGTGCTAGCAGGCTTGGTTGATCCTCCTGGACGCTTTAGCGCCCATCTCTGAAAGGAATGGTACATATTAACCTTTTATAAAATATTCTAATGTACGATATCTACATTAGGATAAGAGGAATTCTCAAGGCAACACCAAAATAGTAAATACTACCTCCATCCCTGAATAAATCAATTCCTAGACTTGTCTTAAGTCAAACTTTCCTATGCTTCACCGAATTTATAGAAAAAAGCACAATTAATGACACCAAATGAGCACATTATGAAAATATATTTTGTGGTGTATCTAATTATACTAATCTGGTGTCATGAATCTTGGCACTCTTTTCTATAAATTCAGTCAAACTTAAAAAAGGTTGACTTAAGACAACTGGGATGGAGGGAGTAGTATTAAAAACAATAAAACGCATAAAATAAGCCAACCAATTAGACCTAGTAATAAGAACAAATAAACATTGAACTCCAGGATATAAAGGGACAGGGAAAGATTTGATGGCAGATCTGGGATCCCAGGCGTAAGACATAATTATTCAGTAAAGCAACAGATGCATGCATATGGACACTCTGCGTCTCTGCCATTTAAGTATATTCGAGAAGTATGCAACCATAGGTTAAGATGGCTTCAGGATAATTCCCGACACATGTAAATAAGGATGCAATCATGCAATATGTCAGAATAGTGCATGCTATTACACAATTGACAAGGTGAACACAATATTACCTGAGATAACTGATCAGGCGTTCTTGTACTATCAAAGTTACATTTATGCAAAATATCCTCCCAATTTCCTTCACCATACTTCTGCACACCAGCTGCTAGGTCTGCATCCTCCTCTTTAGACCATGCTTTTGACTTCTTTCTCTTTTTAGAAGCTCCATTTGGATCCAAATGACCAGGAGAGGGTCCTATATGAGATGACTGTTTTGAACTGGCAACAGGACCTGTAACATTTGCTATACGATGACTCTGAGCAAGCTGTTTCTCAGATGGAACCCGCACTATCTTTTCATTTTGGGTGTTCAGCACAGGAGGATCCAAGTTAATGCGATGACCAGAGGCTTGCTCACGTGAAGATCCGGATATTAGCGCCTGCAAAATGTATTATATGTTAAGAGTATCTAAGGTATCAATAAATTAGGAATGCATAGCAAAATGTATTATATGTTAAGAGTATCTAAGGTATCAATAAATTGGGAATGTTAGAACCAAAACACAGGTTTGGGGCTGAATTTCAGATTTCATTAGCCATGCCACAACTATGGCAGGTTGGGGATACATATAGGAGCTTGCTTGAGCCTTAAGAAAGCTACAACATATTATAGAGATGCTAAAGTAGATGCCTGGCGCGAAGCTCCTGGAACTTGACCCGCCCAAGGGACTTGGTGAGAAGGTCGGCGAGCTGATCCTGGGTGTTGATGTAGCCGGCCTTGATGCTCCCCTCATCCAAGCAGCTCCTAATGAAGTGGTACTTGATTCGGATATGCTTGCTGCGCTCATGGAAAACGGGGTTCTTCGCCAAGGCCAAGGCGGACTTGCTATTCACCCTAAGCTCCACTGCTTCTGCGTCTCTGCCCAGGAGATCGCCTAGCAGCCGAGCCAACCAGAGAGCTTGAGTCGAAGCGGTTGTGGCAGCGATGTACTCCGCCTCGCAACTGGATAGAGCCACCACTTGCTGCTTGACCGACTACCAGCTGATTAGACACTTGCCGAGGAAGAATAGCGTCCCGCTGGTGCTCTTGCTTGTGTCGATGTCGCCGGCGAGTTGCTGTCGTTATACCCGATGAAGTGCTCCGCACCGGGACACCTCGGGTAGTGCAAGCCGTAGTCGGAAGTGCCTGCGACGTAGCGGAGGATCCTCTTGAACGGCCTGCTCGTGCTCCGTCGTCGGTCGCTGCATGAACCGACTGACATAGCCAACGGCGAACGTCAGGTCCGGCCGTGTGTGGACGAGGTAGCGAAGGCTGCCCACAATGCGCCGGTACCGCGCGGCTCAGCTTCAGCCTCTCCTCCATGGGAGTGTGTGCTGGGTTATAGCCGGTGAGCCCGCCCTACTCGACGATGTGCTTGGCGTAGACGGTCTGGCGAAGGGAGATGCCAGAGCTGTCCTGGTGGACCTCGATCCCTAGGTAGAAGGAGAGAAGGCCCAAGTCGCTCATCTGGATGGTCGCCTTCATCTCCTCCTTGAATGACTCCACCTCGGCCTCCTTGGCGCCGGTGATCACCAAATCGTCGACGTAGGCGCCTACCAACAGGGCATTGCCTCCCTTGCCCCGTCGGTAGACTGCAGCCTCGTGAGGACTTTGCTGGAACCCCATTTGCTTGAAAGTGGAGTCCAGCTTGGTGTTCCAAGCTCGGGGTGCCTGCCGCAAGCCGTAGAGGGCCTTGCGTAGGTGAAGAACCTTGTTCTCCTTGCCGGGGATGACGAGTCCCGGCGGCTGGTGGGCGTAGACCTCCTCCTTCAGGTCACCGTTGAGGAAGGCGGACTTGACGTCCATGTGGTGCACATGCCAACCCTCCTGGGCCGCCAGTGCGAGGAGATGGACGGACTCCATCCGCGCAACGGGCGCGAAGGCATCGTCGAAGTTGACTCCCTCTTGCTGGACGAACCCGCGCGCCACCAGACGCGCCTTATGCTTGATCACCGCCCCGGCCTCATCCTTCTTGAGCTTGTAGACCCACTTAAGGGTGATGGCGCGGTGGCCGGCAGGAAGATCCGCCAGCTCCCACGTCCGGTTCTGCTCGACCACGTCCATCTCCTGCTGCATCGCGGCGCGCCATGCCGCGTCTCCCTCCGCCTCAGCGAAGGAGCGGGGCTCGCCGTCCTCGTGCGCCAGGTGTAGCTCCGCCTCGAAGTCGTGCACCGCCAGTCCAGGAACGGGCTGATCACCGAAGATGTTGTCCAAGGTGCGGTAGCACAGAGGCTCGTCGTTGCGGTAGGCATCGACGCGATCCTCGTCGTCGGACAGTGGAGTGGCGAACTCCACCGTGCGCTGCTCGTCACGGACCAAGGCTGCTGGTGCCGATCTCGGAGGTGTGGGCGCCGATGCAGGAGATTGGGGAGCTGGTGTAGGAGAGCGGGGCGTAGCCGGTGGTACAGGTGGTGGACTTGCTGGTGGTGTAGGCGGTGGAGTACTCACCGGAGCTGATGGCGAGCCGGGTGCTGAGGTAGACGAGCTCGGTGAAGATGAGCTGCTAGCTCCCCCCGGCTCCCTCGAAGTGGACGTAGTCGACGACGAAGTCTCTGAGAGCCGAAGTCGAGCCGTCGTCCACCGCCTTGTCCCAGGCCCAGCCTCGCCCTTCGTCGAACACGACGTCCCGGGAGATGCGGACGCGCTGTGTTGCAGGGTCGAGGATGCGGTAGGCCTTGACGCCCTCCGCGTAGCCGATGAAGACCCCTGGCATGCTCCGGTCGTCGAGCTTGCCGACGTGGTTGAGCTCCTTGGCGAAGGCGAGATAGCCGAAGACGCGGAGGTGGCTCACCACCGGCTTACGCCCGTGCCAGGCCTCGTACGGCGTTTTGCCGTCAAGGGCCTTGGTGGGTGAGTGGTTGAGGAGATGGACGGCAGTCATCACCGCCTCCCCCCAGTAGATTGTCGGCATCCCTCTCTGCTTGAGGAGAGCGCGGGCGGTGGCCACCACCGCCTGGTTGCGGCGCTCAACGATGCCGTTTTGCTGCGGGGTGTACGGCGCGGAGAAGTGGCGCTGGATCCCCTCGTCGGCGCAGTACACCGCGAACTCAGCCGCCGTGAACTCGCCGCCGTTGTCGGTGCGTAGCACCTGAAGCTTGCGGCCACAGTCCTCCGTGGCAGCTTGATGGCGCTTGATGGCGTCCGTAGCCGCCGCCTTGGTGTCGAGCAGGACCGCCCATATGTAGCGGGACACGTCGACGAGGTGCAGGAAGAAGCGCCGGCCTCCAGGTGTGGCCGGTGTCACGAGGCTGCAAAGGTCACCGTGCACGAGCTCCAGCTTCTCCTTGGCGCGGAAGCTCGTCTAGCGGGGAAAGGGGAGCCGCCGCTGCTTGGTGAGGACGCAGGTGTCGCAGAACTGCTCCACGTGCTCGACTCGCGGCATGCCCTGCACCATCTCCTTGTTGCCGAGCTGCTTCAGGGCCTCGAAGTTGAGGTGCCCAAAGCGCTCGTGCCACCGCCAGGAGTCGTCGTCGCGGCGGGCTGCAAGACACACGGGCTGAGCCACCTACACGTGGAGGACGTAAAGGCGGTTGGCGCCTCTGTTCACATTGACGAGAAGGCGACGATGGCGATCCCAGATGTTCTCATCCAGCTGTCCCAGCCTGATGATGGAGTTCCTCAGCGCGGGGATGTAGTAGACACCGGTGAGCAGTCGGTGCTCGCCGGTCTTGGCGGTGATGACGACAGAGCCGACGCCCTTGATCTCTACGGCGGAGGCGTCCCCGAACTTGATGGAGCCTCGAACGCCGGAGTCGAGCTCGGAGAAGAACTCCCGCCGCCCGGTTATGTGGGTGGCGCCGGTGTCGAGGTACCACCGGTCGATCTAGTTGCCGTCGGACCCGTTGCCGAGGAAGACGTGAGCCCGCGGCTCGTCGAGGTGGAGCGCGGCGACGGCCGGCGCGGGAGAGGAGTGCGGCTCGATGCTCCCGTGTACGATGAACAGAGCCGGCTCGTCACCCTCCTACGCTTGCGCGACGTGTGCTTGACCGCCGCGCTTTGCCTGCCGGCAGTCCTTGGCCCAGTGGCCGGTCCTCCCGCAATTGTTGCAGGTGTCGTCACAGGTAGCCTTGCGCTCGCCGTCGGCGCCGCCAGGAACGCCACCACGCGCCTTAACACGCTTGCGCGGCCGACGCTTGCGGCTGCTCGACGAACCCGAAGCTGAAGAACCCGAGGCCTCCCCCTTCTTCCGCTCCCGCTGGCGGGCGAGCCACTACTCCTCAGTGAAGAGAAGCTTGCCACCGATGGTGACCGGCTCTGAGGGAGGTAGCTGCTAGCGGTTGTCGACGGCCTTGAGGCGACCCGTCACCTCCTCGATCGACAGCTCGGAGAAGTCCAGCAACATCTCAATCACGATGGCGACCTGCGAGTACTTCTTGGGGACGACGCGGAGGAACTTCTCGACAGCTCTCTCCTCGTTGATGTCGTCGCCGTACCGCACCAACTGTTGCATCAGGGTGTTGAGGCGGAGAGCGAAGTCGTCGACGTCCTCACCCGGCTTGAAAGCCAGGTTCTCCCACTCCTGAAGCGTGGACCTGCGAGCACGGTCGCTGCCAATGCGTGCCGCGGCGATGGCGTCCCAGGCGTCCTTGGCGGTCCGCTTGTTCGCGTGGGAGGAGTGCATCTCCATCGGAACAGCAGCAAGAAGCGCCTCCAGTGCCCCCGCCGATCCTCGTCAAAGTCGGCATCGCCGTACCATACCGCATCCCACATGAGCCGCGCCTGCATCTTCACCTTCATCACCATGGACCACTCGGCGTAGTTGGTCTTGGTGAGCATGGGTCATCCGCTGCCAGCGTCCTTGACGATGGTCTGCACGACGGGAGGGGAGCCGGTCCGGGGAAGGGGAGGCGCGCTGCCTGTGAGGGCTCCATGTGCCAGCGTCCCATCCGCCCAGGTCCCGCGCCTCGTGCCGCTCCTCCCGCTCCAGCCAGGCGTTGGCATCGCGTGCCGCCCGGTCGTACCGGTCGAAGTCACGGCGTTGTCCGTCGAAGCGGCCCGCGTCGTGTCCGTGTCGGTTGTCGAAGCCGTCGCGGTCGCCAGCCTCACGTCCACTGCGTCCGCCTAGGCCCGCTCGACGTCCACTCCGCGGCGCAGAGCTGCAGCCGCCGCCGCTCCTACATCCGACGTGCCCGCCCGGGCGCCGTAGTCCTCCTGCTCCCCGCATCCGCCTCCGCACGGAGTGCAGCCGCTGCTGTTGCAGCCTCCCGCGCCTCCGCTGCTGCCTGGTGGGCGGCTTTAGCCACACGAGCCGCCCGCTCCGCTACTGTTGCACGCTCGGCTGCCGCCTCCTCGCGCCTAGCCGCTGCAGCACGTATGCTGGAGGTGGTGGAACGGTTGGAGGAAGAGGATGAGTGGAGAGACATGGCGACGGATTGGGATGGGGTAAGGGTAGAACCCAGATGAACTTAGGCTCTGGATACCATTTGTTAGAACCAAAACACAGGTTTGGGGCTGAATTTCAGATTTCATTAGCCATGCCACAACTATGGCAGGTTGGGGATACATATAGGATAACTTGCTTGAGCCTTAAGAAAGCTACAACATATTCTAGAGATGCTAAAGTAGATGCTAGGAATAAAGATAAGGGCTGACACAGCCACCAACTACTCTAGATAATTATCCTAAGTAAATAAGGACAAGACTTATAGCTGTCATTCTCCCCCTAAGTCTTGTGTGGCGCCTTCTGGGGAATTTGAACCATCCCAATCCTGGCGCGAGGCTCCTGGAACTTGACCCGCCCAAGGGACTTGGTGAGAAGGTCGGCGAGCTGATCCTGGGTGTTGATGTAGCCGGCCTTGATGCTCCCCTCATCCAAGCAGCTCCTAATGAAGTGGTACTTGATTTGGATATGCTTGCTGCGCTCATGGAAAACGGGGTTCTTCGCCAAGGCCAAGGCAGACTTGCTGTCCACCCTGAGCTCCACTGCTTCTGCGTCTCTGCCCAGGAGATCGCCTAGCAACCGAGCCAACCAGAGAGCTTGAGTCAAAGCGGTTGTGGCAGCGATGTACTCCGCCTCGCAACTGGATAGAGCCACCACTTGCTGCTTGACCGACTGCCAGCTGATTAGACATTTGCCGAGGAAGAATAGCGTCCCGCTGGTGCTCTTGCTTGTGTCGATGTCGCCGGCGAGGACGCTGTCGCTGTACCCGATGAAGTGCTCCGCACCGGGACACCTCGGGTAGTGCAAGCCGTAGTCGGAAGTGCCTGCGACGTAGTGGAGGATCCTCTTGACGGCCTGCTCGTGCTCCGTCGTCGGTAGGTTTGGGGCTAACAGGGAATGCATATAACATTACAGAACAAGACATGATAGCATAATAACACATTACGAAACCACATAGGACTACTAACGAGTATCAAACTTACATGATTCTTTCCAGTAAGTTGCCATACAAGGATAACATTTATTTTCAATAAACCAAAAACAATGGACATTTCATGTCATTCTGCATAGATACTCCCAGTTACAGAGTTGACATAAGCAAGCACTATCAGTCCCTCACTAAAACCCTCCATTTCATCTCCATTTTAGTAGCTTAGTTTTTACATTGGCTCGCCAAGCCTGACACAACCCTCCTCCTTTATCAGGGCTTGTGACCTGCTATGCTGAAACATCATAGGCACCCCAACATAGGTGGAGTTCCCTCACTAAAGCCCTCTTTAGAGACAGTATTTTTTATGGAATTCTGGGAATATACTATGGTTTTGCAAAATACATTGGTTTTCGAAAGGTAAGAGGTGTTTGGATGACATAGTACTGTAGTTTTTAAAAACATGGGTATTGCTAAAACTGTAGTCTTTTTAGAGTTCTAGAACAACCAGTCAGAACCCCTTTTTTTTCTAAACCATGATTTTGTGCTACCAAAGTTCTTCAAAACGACCAAGTAATGAACATTGAGCCATCAATGGAATGATGTTTGGGGCATATCATCATCTGAGAGCAGTCGCAGCATCCAACACCTTCACGTTACGGAACCTTAAATCAAGACTTTCTTGAAACATTCTATGAGACCCATCTTGTAAATTAATAATTAAATAAAATGGAAGTTCATATTCATAAATACTGAAAAGGAGAAATAAATGTCAGCGAGCGATCATAAGAGCTCAATTTTCATCAAACAAAAAGTTGCAAGTTTTCTTTTTATTTATACAAAAAAAATCAACTATATTTCATTGCCATCTGATACCTAGTGGCAAAGTGAAGCTTTAACCTCCAGTCGCTAATAAGGCATCAATCAAACTTTTGAAGAGTCAACATTGTGTATCAACCATAATCTAGAACAGACTCAGACTGGGAGCTATATGCCTATATGTTTGTGTACTATCTAAAATACTAAATGCATACCAGAATAACTATTAACTTATTCAAATCAGGGACCAGGTCAACTGCTATACAGGCTGAAATGTCAGGCCAGACCATCTGGCCTGTAATAGCCTAATAGGTATATGTAATAGCACTATCCTTGCTAGCCCAATCAGCATTCCACCCAACACCTGATCACAGTTCTTTTCAGCCCGTGACCATTGACAAGCACACGCCCACATGTGTAGCAAGCATCATCATTCACACCAGCATTTCCCTCTAGCATCCAGCCCTGCTCCTCACCCAAATCCCAACATGGCAAGCTACCAGCCACCCCAACCTATTGCCGCCACCAATGAGCAGCCCCTCCAACACTACTGATGCTCCCACCACTGGTTGTCTCTCCAGTAGTCCAGTGTATGCCTACCTGAAGCCTGAGGTGTGCCTCTGCTTGTTACTGCCTTTCATGGGCTCTAAAACTGCCATGACTCTTGCTGCCAGGCATCACTGCCACCTACTGGGCATCAGTGACCACAAAGCTGCCTCTAGACTCCAGTTCTCTCCAACTACCACAAAGCTGCCTCTAGACTTAAGATTTGTTCTTAGGCCAGTCTCAGTGGGAGTTCCATCAGACTTTCATTTGCACTAAGCGTTTTTTATGATGTGGCAACGTTTTTAAGAAGAGAGAAGAATTGAGTTTCATGGGGACGTAACTCTCTTAGCACGATTACCAACTATCTATGAGTCATAAAATTAAATGTCTATGAAACCATAGAATGAAACTTTCAATTGAGAGTGGGTGTTTCATCCATGTTTCATTTCATTCTATGACATGGTAATCTTGGAAACAACGCTATGAAACTCTCCACAGAGACTGGCCTTATTAGTATTTGAATTTCAAAATATTGCATCAAGTTTGATGGAATCAACTAAATCAAGTGGCGCTTCTATAATCATTCTGGATAAGATTGCAGTAAAAGATTTGTTTGAGCAAGCCAATCATAACAGCGCAACACTTCTGAATACTTTTTTTTTTAGATAAAGGAACAACGTTCCAGCCTCTACACTTACGAATAAGTGTATGCAGCCAACACACTTCTGGATACTTGATCATGGTAAAATAAGGTATTGAAAAATAGCAGAGCAAATGCTACACAAGCAGCTGCCTCTCGCTCATCCTGTATATTTTTGAGCATCAAAATCAATTCAGTGAAAAAAAAGATGACTAAACAGGATTTGGCATCATGCATTCAAAAATAAAAAATGACCATCCTACTGTATGCTTTCCAAACAAGAAGTGATACCTTGGCTAATGCAGAGGCCTCAGATAAAGCTTCCTTGGTCGGAATGGGATTGGGTTCAAGCTCCAATTCCAGGTCACTGTCATCGCCCTACCATTGTCAAGAAGATTGAACATAAAAAATAGGTATAGCACCAATTACGGAAGGAGCAGCCAACACAAGAACAAACTGAATTCCTGTGCGTGCTACCTTAAGATCCAAACAATCACCACTACAGGAATCCCAGCTACTTGACGCCTTGCAAGCCAGTCCAAAAGGGGCAGCAATATCTAGGCTTTGAGGAGTGGGTAGGATTACAAACCAGAGGCTCTTCGCCGGCGTCGACGCTATCCTCTAGGTCGTGGCGATAGGCGAAGTGGCGCCAGAGCATCTGGTACTCGCGGGCGGAGGTGATCCCCGTGGCCGACTTCCCCACCACAGCCCTCCAGTCGATGCGCCGGCCCTCCGCGTGCTGCGCCACCTCCTGCAGCGCCGTCAGGATCGTCCCCGGAGCGTACCTGAGGGGGGAGAAGGATTGCAAGCGGCGCGGTCAAGTAAAACCCTAGGCGAAAACGAGCCGCCCGGGGAGACACCGGGAGGACGGGCTGAGGAGGAGGCGGAGGAAGGAAGGACGGACCTGTGGAGGAGGAGGTAGACGTCGTCCTCAGAGAGGTGGCGCTTTCGCTTCCCCTTGCCCGCCGCCGGCGCCGCAGCTGCCATCTCCGACAGGTCGGCGCTTGGTGGGGCAGCTGCTGTTCTACCCTTTCGTTGTTCTCTCTATTCTCTTTATTTGTTTTTGGATGGATTAGTTGTGATTTAGCGCAAACAGGGAGAACTGTTAGTCGGAGCGTATCTCCACCAAATTGCAAACAACACCTTGTTTAGCTGACCGAATTCGCCGCCGCCGGATTTATTCGTTTGTTTTTGGTAATAATTGTCCAATCGTTGACTAATTAGACTCAAAACGTTCGTCTCGCAAAGTATAACTTAACTATATAATTAGTTTTTGATTTCGTCTACATTTAGTACTCCATGCATGTACCACAAGTTTGTTGTGACGGAAATCTTTCTTTTCATAGTGCCAAAGTTAGGAGTTGGGAGCAACTAAACAAGACCCAAATGATCTATATTTCCTGTAAAAAATACTTTATCTAAAACATATAAATAATGTAAAAGTTAGAGGTTTTGTCCGACCTCTTTTTTTTAGCTTTTGCACGCGTAAAAGTTCAGATGTTTATATCTTCAACATTGTCAAACCCATGCTAGGGAGCAGGGAGTATTAGAGTAGGGATCTCACCTGCTGCTGCCGAGTGGTTGAGTTGGGGCGCCGGGGGCTGGGGGAGTAGGGATCTCACCTGCTGCTGCAGTGTGGTTGAGTTGGGGGCACCCGGGGCTGGGGGCCTGGGGCGGCCGTGGCCGGGTCAACGAGCGGCGGGCTGGGGCAGCCGGTGGCCGGCGCTGCACCGACCAGTGGGGGCAGGGCGATACAGGAGGTCAGGAGGAGCCGAGGAGGAGCCGAGGAAGGCGGATCGATGGAGGGCGTGGACGCGAGGCGGGAAGTCGGAGTCGAGCGGGTAGGGGCGCCGTCGCGAGCGGTTCCTTCTCCCTGCTGTCGCGGTCGCGAGACCGAGACTTTTGCCATCCGTAACGGATGGCACTCCTTGTGCACATTGCCATCGCAAACGGTGCACCTTCTATGTTTTTGTCACCTTCGCTGACGTGGCACGCCAGCGTGGCAGCGAGCCTGGGAGTCTTAAATTGACATGGAAAATGATCTATTTACCCATGCTACTTCTCTCCCTCTATTCTCTGACGTGTGGGCCTCACATGTTAGCCTCATCCTCAACCTCCGATCATCACCACGCAGCGAGGGGAGGGAAGAGCTCGTGTGGAGTCCCGGCCGCCTGCGCAGTGGCCTAGGCGCGCAATAGCCTAGGCTTGCGGCCCCATGGCCTGGGGCGCGCAACAGCCTGGGCGTGTGGCCCGTGGCCTAGGCGCGCGACAGCCTGGGCGACGGCCGACGGCGCCCAGCCAGTTCCGACCACACAGCGACAGCGCTCAGCCAGTTCTGACGGTGCCCAGCCAGTGCTCGGTGAGGATGGTGACGCTGTAGGTGGCTAGGAATGGCGGTGTTGTTGAGCTCGCCGGCGGCGGCCATGGCCACGGGAGCGCAGTGCTTGGCTTGGGCTATGGCATTACGGCATGTGAGAACAAACTGATGCGTTCGTGATGTAGTGGAGCAGCAGCCAGCATGTAGCTTCTTGGACAAAGGCCTTGGGTTCCCTTCCATGCTCATCAGCGTGCACGAACGCTGGGCGGTGTAGCCTTTAACAGAGCAGGACATGGAGCGAGGCGTTCTTGGTGGCTAAGCAGACGGGGCACGCGTCCAAGGGGGGCCTCGGACGAGCGCACAGCCACAGGTACTGTCACGGGAGCAGCAGCACGCACCCGCCGCCGCCGCATGCCTTGCAAGATGAGTAGACGACGCTGTAGCCTTGTCGCCGTGCACGGTGCGCCCAGGTTGCCGGGCACGAGTCCACGCGCCCAGGCCGCTGCGCGACGCGGAGAAGACTCCGCACGAGCTCCCCCCCCTCCCCTCATTGAGTGGTGATGACAAGAGGTCGAAGATGAAGCTGACATGTGGGGTCCACACGTCATAGAGTAGAGGGAGAGAAGCAAATGGGTAAATAAGTCATTTCCCGTGTCAAGTTAGGGCTTCTAAGCTTGCTACCACGCTGGCTTGCCCGTGGCGTGCCACATCAGCAAAAGTGGCAAAAGCATAGGAGGTTCACCGTTTACAATGGCAATTATGTAGGAGCGTGCACAAAGCTGGCAAACGGAGGAGTGCCATCCGTAAGGATGGCAAAAAGTTAAAAATCCCCGAGACAGAGATCAGAGCCGAGTCGGGTTGCTGTGGCCTACGGCCAGGGCTAGGATCGGAGATTGCTAGGCTGTGCTCGTCTCGGGGTGGGCTATTGGGCTGCCTAGCCTTTTTATGTGTTTTTTATGAAGCATATTTCCACTGCGATTGGGCCTCGCCTCGGGCTATAGCCCGGGCAGCTCGGGGCCCAAATCCGCCCTTGCCGCCGGCCATGGAGTCTCCCTAAAATTCTAACCCTAAATTCCCCTTTGACCACCACCTCCCTCCCTTAATGTTGGTGTAGTACTCTCGCATGTGTGTTGTCGCACGCACGCTGAATAAATATTGCGGGCTTCATCGCTCTTAGATTATATTAAGGAACTTACTGGGAATTTCGTTGGTTTCATTTAACTGGCAAGTCGTTTGTGTAATAAGGTAGTCCACATACACAAAATAGACATCGTAAAATAAACAATCACGCTCTAGGACTGAAATGAACTAGCATTGTCCCTTTCATTCTATTTTCTCTTTTTGTAGTTGTGATTTTTCGCTAGGAGGGGACAACATTAGTCAGAAAACATTCATGGTGTTTATAATGAAAAACATAGAAAAAAGCAAACATTAGTGCATTGATAGCTGGTAAAACGGGAGAGCCAAATAATACTCCACCCACCCAGCTGGTGACACCATCCTCGTAATTGCGGACGCTCTAAAGTTAGATACATGTATGCAAAATAGAAATCACTAATAAAAATCTCACGTCGTAACAAAAAAAAAACTATCAACTCCCTTTTTCTCATTATGTTACCTTTCTTTGCTATTTAAATTTGTTTTTGATCAGTTGTGATTTGGCACAAAGAGGTGGACAGTTGCTAGTGAGAAATCATTCATGAGTGTTACATGTAACGCTCTCGGTGTTACACTATACAGTCTTTCACTAAAACACTACATGAGCATCATATTTATGTGTGCGTGTATGAATTATAGTGTGTAAATCAATTCCTGTGACTCAAAACGTTCATCGGAAACGCGAAACGAATGTTATATTTCATGTCGCGTTATATCGCTTAGAGTTTTAAACGAATTTTTATTGAACGAAGATGCTATAGAACGCATATCCGGCACTTTAATAAAGTTTGTAGTGTAAGCTTCGTAGGTGGCGGTGAAATACTTATGGTCGTGAATGGGATTCGCTAGCTAGCTTATTTAATAGCTTAGAAATTGCATTCGACTTGAAACCGATTAAGACGTAGTCGCATTTCTTAAGTTAGAAAACGGTGTGACGAGGCTAAATTTGGGAATTTTTATAGGAGAATCGGGTTCGGTAGTGGTATGGTCTTAGGGCTTGTTATAGTAGCTGGATATACCATCTCGAGCGTAAAATAGTTGGTTTAGCAATTGAAGCATTGAGGTGGGTTTTTGGGATGCTTTAAAAAGCGTGCAAGGCACGTTCCCGAACGGTTGCAGCGTCTGACCGCGGTCACCAGGCTTCGGTTCGGCTTTGCGTGCGGCACTGGCCTGCCCCTGGTGCACACACGCGCACCGCCGCACGGGCCCGCACCGCCGTTGCCGCGCCCTGGCACGCGACTCGCGCGTACACGTGCACGCGGGGCCCGACAAGCCTGGCTGCTTTGCCACCGCCGTCGCGTCCGCCTGAGCCATGCGGCTCGCTGTCGCATCGAGCTGCGTCCCCGATCGTGCTGCTGCTGACCCTTCGTGGCTGTACACGCGTGGGCTTCCCCAGCCTTCACATCAGCGCTCGATGCGACGCCACGCTGCTGCCTCCCCTAACCTGCGCCAGCCACCTAGGCACGTAGGGCTGAGCTGCCGTCGTCTTGTGAGTCAAGCCGCTACGACTGCACGTCGTTGTGCCGGTCTCGTACGCGCACATGGAGCCATCACCCCTCGCGCTGCCGTCCTCTCCCAATTAGTGACTGTGCCACACCAAGCTCCTATCAGGTCGCCTTGAATGGTGTCACGCCAGTCGGCCGAGCCGCGCCAAGGCCAACCCGCAGAGCTGGTCCCATCCTTTTAATTGCGCACATCTGGAGGTCGAGTTGGAGTCTAGCTTCACGCCAAGCTTGCCACTGCCGCTGCCGTACGACGTCTATCTTTAATTTGAGTTTTTTCCCACCGTCGACCCCCTTAAGTCCGAACGACGTCGTCCAACCAATTGGCATTGCATAGTCCATCTCCATCCAATTAACCGTGCACCCAACTAGCCCTGGTGGTTAGCTCACGATTGGAGTCATCCCGAAGAGCTTTCATCCTCTAGTGAGGTAATGTGGGGCATTCTCCTCGCGGTGGTCCACCTTGGCCGTCGAGGTGGGTGCTCGGCTAACGCGTTGCTCCGTGCTCCGTTGTTTCAATTGAGCGGTGCCTTTGTGTCATGTTGACTTGGTTGCCTCGCAAGTGTAATAGTTTCACCAGTGGAGCAGCAGGTCACGAGGGACGCTGTCGCCGCGCTTGCCGTGAACCGGAGCACTCCCATGCATGTGGCAACCACCTTGTCGAGTCTCATGACCACGTCTAGTCTACCCTACATGTCTTTGGTGAGGCCCTCTTGCTCCTAGGGTAGGTGGTTGAACCGGTTGGGGTCTAGGTTGCCCAGGACGCGTTCGCTGTCGCCGGTGAACTGGATTGGATGTCGTTCCCGTGGCCAGCATGGTTGGGTGTAATAGCGGTTCAAATAGGGCTCCTATCTTGTTGCTCGTAGTCTATAGATGGGTACAGGGTAGCGGTAGAGGCGTTGGGCTAGATGATTTTGCCGGTGCCAGTGTTGCCGCGGCCAGACCCCGCCATGGCGCATGGCCACATCTAGGCGCGGCACCGTTTTTAGTGCTTGATACTCGATGGGTTG